GCCTGCCTCCCACGCGGAGCCCGGGGGCCTCCCGCAGGCTCCAGCGCTGCTTCCCAGCCCGGCTGGCTGCCCGTCCTTCGAAAGCCGGGTCGGCAAAGCGGCGGCCGCCTCCGATTACAGCCGCCTGCTGAGTCCGCCTGTGCCCGTCCTCCTCACTGCTGGCGCTGGTCTTCATCCCAGAGAAGAACTTGGTGTCCTGGCGAAACCTCCGGCCTCACCGGCCTGCGGCTGAGCACGGACACAGGCTCATCCCGTGGGATCAGGAGCCCTCGGCCACCAACAAGCGCCAGTCCCAAGGGAGAAGGGGACTGCTCTGGGATGGGCACTTGGGCACAGAGCCCATCCTGATGTCCCCATCTGGGCCCTATAGACAGAAGCTTGAGCACCTCAGCACCTCATTCCCTTTCTGCGACGTTGGGGGGTGAAGGCTTCTGTCCTTCAACAGGGGAGGACAAATTCATCCTGAGGCCACAGGAGCTCCGTGCCCATGGTCAGGCAGGGACTGAGGGCAGCCCTGGGCGGCTCTGGATTCTCCCGGATTCTCTGAGCCCATCTAACCCTCTCCTCCTTCCCAACAGAGTGCCCGAAGGGACCGGATGTCCTGGTGGTCCTGCTCTCGGTGACGGGCGCCATCCTGCTCATCGGCCTCGCTGCCCTGCTCATCTGGAAGCTCCTCATCACCATCCACGACCGGCGGGAGTTCGCCAGGTTCGAGGAGGAGAAGGCCAGGGCAAAGTGGGACACGGTAAGAGCCCGTGGGGTCCTGTGTGCCAGGCAGGAGCCCCCCAGTGCCAGGGGTTTAATCCCATGTCTGAGCAGGTCCAGACCCCAGCGTTCCTGATTGCAGAACCTTGTCCCTGTCTCTGGTCCCCTGGAGATGCTTGTTAGGGTCCCCTTCTCTGTACCTGCTGCCACCCTTGGGCACACGCACGGGGAGGATGTCCTAGATGGTCCCTCGTCCCCAGGGCCTCCCGGGCACTGGGCCTTGGCGTGATGCTCTTTACTCACTGCTTGTGCCAGAGTTTCCACCCCGTGAGCGCGGCGGAAGGTCCCTCCTGCCACGGGATGCCTGGAAGGGCTGAGGCACCCAGCACACGAGGCCACGGCAGCACGGGGACACGTCCCCTCCACGCCAAGGCGGCACATCCCCGTGCCACCTCAGAGGGCTGAAGCCAAGAGCCATCACTCTTGTCTCTTTTGCCTCCAGGGCCACAATCCTCTATACAAAGAGGCCACGTCCACCTTCACGAACATCACCTACCGTGGGAACATGTGAGGATGCCCACGGCCACCCCGTCCCTTCCCAGCGCTGGCCATGGACTCAGCGAGGAGCAGGGCAGCCTCCGGAGTCGGGCTGACGGGACAGCTTGGTGCTCTGTGCGTGTGCGAGTGGCTGCCTGTAACTTAACAACCCCTCGACCGGCTCCGCGACCCTGCTTCCGTCACCCGCCCTCCTGCAGGGACGTTCTCCT